AAACGGCGGTCCCGAATCTGAGACAGTTGGCATACCCCACCGGGCCGAGCTTTTTCGGTCTTTTCCACTTTTTGACGGAAGCAAATTCGGGGGCCCGTAGCCGTCAGCCACACTCTGGCAAGCCTGTGGCTGGAGCTTTACCTGCACTACCTTGCTTGACCGCCTAAATTTTTCAAATTTCTGCCGCATCCCACCTTGCCCAGGCGGCCCAGGATCGTCGGTGCACTTTCGTCGCCTCCAGGGAACGGCCGAGCAGCTTTTTTCGCGAAAAGAGATTCTGTTGTTTGCACAACCTCAACGCCAAACAATCATGTCTTCTATGCGTAATGCTGTTCAGCGTCGCTCCCACAGGGAGCGCGCTCAGCCTCTGGAGCGCCAACGTTTTGGCCTCCTCGAGAAGCACAAGGTTCGTCGTCTAAGACGCTCTACAACAACTGCTTGTCGAGATAGTCTTACTAACTACTCATTCTACGCCTATAGGATTACTCCCTCCGTGCCAAGGATTACAACAAGAAGAAGGCTACGATCAAATCTCTGCGCGAAAAGGCCGCCGACCGAAACGAAGATGAATTCTACTTTGGCATGCTCAGCCGCAACTCCATGGGTTCGCGCCTCAAGGACGGCAGGAAGTGGTCCGGTACCGTCGCTGGTGACCGCGGCAACAAGGCCATGGACATGGACACGGTGCGGCTTCTCAAGACACAAGACGTCGGCTACATACGCACCACGCGCAACGTCATCTCCAAGGAGGTGAGACGTCTGGAGGAGCAGATTGTCCTAATTGGCGGCATCGATGCGGCGAACCACAACGGCGACGACGACGACGACGACGACGACTTGGACTCCGACAGCGATGCCAAAGAAAGTGCCAGGAAACCCACTGGACCGAGAAAGATTGTCTTTCTGGATGCTGCTGAGGCGGAAGCCAAGGCAAAGTCCGCCGAGAAGGCAGCGATGGACCTGGACGACGAGGACGAGGACGAGTTTGACGGGTTCGGTGACGCCGAGGATGGCGATGACGACGAAGATGCCGCAGAGAGCAGGGAAAAGCAGCTGTCGCGGTTACGGCTGCAACTACAAAATGCCAAGAAGAAGCTCAAAGTCTTGACCAAGGCGGAGCAGGGTCTTGAGATACAGCGGGCAAAGATGGCCAAAAGTGCAACCTCGGGCGGCACGACGAGAAAGGGCAAGAAGATTATGGTCCGGGCACGCAAGAGGTGAAAGGTTTCCTACAAATTCAGCGTCTTTCAAAAGAATGGTTGGCGAACACAAAAAGCATGGTTGAAAATTGGGGTTTTTGGTTGTTTTTTTATCGTGTCTTCATTTCAAATCCTAACATTCTGAGCGGCGGCTACGGGGAAGGATGGACCTCCTCCTACCCTTGCTCAGAGAAGTCGTCATGCGATACCCAAGGACACCCCGGAGTATAGATTTACATGTACAAAGAAGGAATATCATCGCTCCCTATCCTATCCCTGGATAGGGGTCTCATAAGGAAAATTCCCATTATTCCATCAACCCCTTAAACCCTTGAGAGACGAAACCAGTACGAGAACAATGCATCAGCTCAAAAGTGGTATCTCATCTCCTTCCTCATCATTCCCGTATTCATCATTTTGCTCTTTTGCTCGGAAGTCACTTGGACTTGACACCAACGCACCTGGCAAGCCCCTTGACAATGGCAGCGAGGGCTTTGAAGCCAATCGTCAGCAGCCAGACGAGGCACTTGAACAGCCCAGCCACAACCTTGAACAGCGCTCTTAAAGGCCAAGGCAGCCTGTCGCGCGTCTCCTTGCCGACCTGCTCCAGCTTCGCGAAGCTGCTGTCTTGGCTCTCGACGTCAATCTCAAACTCCTCCATCTTGCCCCTGCGCGCGGCCGCCGCGGCCCTCTTCTTCTCCTCCCTCTTGCTCAACCGGCTGTCGCGGCCGCTGCCACCGACAGGATCGTGCGGCGCCGGGGGCGGCTCAAAGGTCTCGACCTTGGTGTTCTTCTCGTCCGCCGCCGCGACGAGCATGAGCGCCGCGACGGCGACGTCGACGATGAAGAAGCTGTCAATCTTTGCGGCGATGGCCGTGTCGACCTCGAGGTAGCCGCCGCCCGTGCCGTCACGCGTCAGCTTGGCGAGGTGCTGCGGCGACTCGTGGTGCTCGAGCGTGTACTCGACCCGGCTCCAGGCGGGTGAGCGCTCAATGGTGACGCAGAAGGGGGTGGCGAGGGCCGGGTGGACGAGGAAGTGCGAGCGGGAGTCCTCGTCCCAGACGAGGCGGGCGCACTCCGTCTCGGCCGTCATGATGGCGTTCATGTCGCCCGGCTTGTCGAGGGCCATCTTGGCGGCCGCCAGCGGGTAGAGGAGGGCGACGAGGCCGTCGTTGGGCGGGTGCTTGCGGGATTCCTCTTCCAATGTGGTGGTGAGGACTTCCTGCCAGTGCTTGCTCTCGGCGCCTTTACCGTTGTTGCTGCTGTCCTTGTGGCCGACGACGCCGGAGAGGATGCTGCTCGCTGACGAGCTTGCCATGGGGTTCGGGGCCTTGTAGACCTTGGCCGGGTCGTGACGGCTGAGAGTGACGTATGCTGATGCAGATGTGGGGTCGAGGCGGATGTTGTAAAAGGGCTGTGATGTCGAGGAGAGTGTGTACACGGGTGCGTCCTTCTCCTGGGACAGCTTCATGCAGTACACTCTGCCTTCTGAAGGAGGTGCTTTCCATCCGTTGGAGACCTTCCACAGGCTCTTCATGTGCTCATTTGATGAGACACTTGGGATGATGGGAGGCTCGATCTGTCTCCTTGGCCATCTTTGCGCTGAGCCCCCGCTCAGGGGACTCCTCATGGGAGGACTCCTGTGCTGATCATTTTGACCTTCCGCTTCTTGGGGATTCGGATACCATGTTGTCCGGTTGATCACAGCCCGTGGGATATGAGTTGGGCTTGTTTGCGTTGGGAAGTAGTCTTGTTGGTTGAGAGGCCTTTCCGGGTTATACTGAGGGAAGATGGATCGGAGAGCAGGCTGTTCTTGTGAAGACGACGAGGGTTCCTCGGGGAACGGAAGCTTTGCTATCGAGCTTCTGGACCGCGTGCTATTATTCCGTACAAGCGTATGTGCTTGTGAGAAGGCGGTATCTGACCGGGGCGGGATATCGGCGACGGGAGGGGGCCTTTGGATGGGCGAAGCCTCCGTGGCCGACGGCGGGGGCAGGGCCGGCAGCTCGCGACTACGCGGCGAGGGATGTTGATATTGCTGCTGTTCACCTGATGGGGCCTGGCGGATGCTTTGTGGAGTTTGCGATCGCTCAACCGGTGTTTGGACTCTCTGCTGCGGCGTCTGTCTTCCGTGATGCGGTGGAGACGCTTGATCGACGTGGTGAACGCTCTCAGGAGACACAGCCCGGGGCCGCTCACGCGATTCTGATCTTCGAGTTCGAGATGCCGGCCTCCTTATTGTTGGGGGCTTGGAGTTGGGGTTCGGGAAGAGTGAGTACCCTCCAGAGGGTGGCTGTGTCGACGACGACATACTGGGCTATGCTGGGGCGGATTATCTCGAATCGAATGTTGTCGTTGATTTTTTTCTCCCCCGGCGTGTTAATGATATTTAAGTCTGGTCACGAAATATGGGGGTAGGGGGGAGTGGCCTGAAAGGAATGAAGAACAGGTAGTCCAGCTGCTACCGATGCATGATATCCAACCCAGTGGGCACCAAGCAAACAACAAACAAGTTTATTATTGCAGTACTAGGTAGACAGCACAGATGAAAGGAAGAGAAAAGCCGTGTAAACATACGACTACCAAAGATACCAAGAGAGTGTATATACGAATTACCTTACTCTCCTCCCCCCTTTGAAACAGCGGCACTATTGCGCGTGGTACAGGGCGGCAGGTCACCCACAGGAAGGCCAGTGTAAGCGCTGGGCTTCTCGACAGACGGGCCGCGGTGAGTGGGTGAACCGTGAAGCCAAAGAGAGGATGGAGGGGCGGCCGGAAGGGGGGAAAGGATGGTGGTGGTCGAAATGGGTAGACGAAAATAGATTGTGAAAGGTTGCAGGCTGGGCCAATCAGCCAGACAATCACACTGCATTCTAGGCGCCGAGACCAGGGTGGTGAGAGACAGGCGCGCGGGGTTGGTTCGGCGGGAGACTTCGTGCCATTGGCTAAGCTCCCCAAATTGGCTGGTCACTCTATTGATCTTGTTGAACTCTGACCGCCCTTGATGTTTCCTTTGGGCATGGGGTTTCTGGGGATTTGCGATAATGCCGACGGTGCAAGGTCTTCGGGCATCGAAGCGAGAATGTAACGCGGGAGACTACCCTGTCCCAGCCGGGGCCGTTGAGGCACATTGCATCCGCCGATCGTGTGGGAAGTGCTCAAAGTGCGTGTCCACGTTCCACATGGCTTCGAAAGAAAAGAATCATCGACCCATCTCTGTTTTTACAAAGGTCAGCTTTTCGGTCCAGGAAGTCATGGGTCTGCCCGTGAGACAACTTATAGGTTTCGGTCTTGCGTCTTGTGGATTGATGAGACGGTCATAAGCAAGCAACATTTCCAAGGGTGGAGGTGTCTTGGGGTACTGTGGTTCAGCGCCTAGCTCGAAGGTTGCCGTGAAGCACCAATGGGTGGGAGGAAGGTGAAGGCGATCGGGAAAAAGACCGGCCGTGATCGGTTGGCTAACTAGAGATTCTGTCGGTTTCTTGACCGGAGTCCCCGGGCTCGGGCGATGCATCTGGGGCCGGGCGTCGCCGATACTGTCTCCGATGGTCGGCGCACTATATTCTATTGTTGGTGGACCCGCCATCCGAGTAGGTCGATTTCGCTCCGTGTAAGAAGCCGACTTAGTTTTCATGGTACTACTCACAACTTTTGTCATCGACCATTTTGACACGGTTGACGCCCCCTCCCCCCAGTATTCAGCAGGTTTATAATTTTGCGAGATGGCACAAATCGTGGTGATTGGGTACCAAAGCACCCTTCCTCCTCTTCAGATCTGAGTGGTCGCTAACATAAGACAGAGCCGGTGTGATCGGGTTGAGCACTGCTGTAAGGCTTCAGCAAGAGGGCCATAAAGTAGCAATAGTGGCCAAGGATTTCCCGAGTCCGTTTGAGACCGTTGACAGCAAAGCTTCAATCAACTACACCTCACAATGGGGCGGCGCTCACAACCGTTGGGTCATACCGGCCAACGAGATGGAACAGCGCGATCATGCGATGGCCCTCAGAACGTTCCGGCACATGGAGTCCCAGGTGAAGAGCAATCCTGAAGCCGGTATTACTTTCATGCCTGGTATTGAATACCTCGATGATCCTCCGCCACAATACCAAGCTCTCAGCGAGGAAAAGGCCCAGAGCTTGGGACTGGTAGACTTCCGGCTCCTGAACCCAACCGAATACCCAGATGACAAGGTGAAGTGGGGATGCGAGTACAAGACATGGTGTGTGAACCCCATGGTCTACTGCTCCTTCCTCCTTCGCAAGTTCTCCTGGAATGGCGGCCAAATCTTCCGCAGAGAACTCAGGGATCCCCGTGAGGCTTTCTCACTGAAAGAGTTGCCGAACGTGAGACATGTAGTCAACTGCTCTGGTTTCGGATTTGGTGACCCAAACTCATTCATCACGAGAGGTATATCGGCCACTGACATCCAACTTACTTTGGCGACTTTGCTGATGAGGTTCTTCAGGTCAAACGTGTGCTGTCGCCAACTTCAGCCCAGCAACCGTGACAAGACAGAATGCTGATGGATCTTGGACATTCTGCGTGCCTCGAAATTTCGATGGCGGCACGATCGTGGGTGGCACAAAGGAACCTGACAATTGGGACACTGAACCGTCGCCAGAAGTGCGGGAGGAGCTCCTCAAACACTTCGCTGCTACATATCCTAAGATCCTTGGGGACGATGGTGAGTTTCGCGTCCTCAAAGATGTCGTAGGCCGACGGCCGACTCGAAAGGGCGGCATGAGGCTGGAAAGAGAAGAGGTGGGAGAGAAGCGCACCATAATCCATGCTTATGGTCTGGGGGGCAGGGGGTTCGAGATGTCCTGGGGTGTAGCTGAGGGTGTACTTGAATTATTGGGAGACTCAAAATTCATGCCGCGGCTTTAGATACGAATGCACCATGCTACCTTAGAGCATCGGTGTAGAGACTGAATACCAAATCTAGACAACGTTGATTCAGGAAACCTCGATCAATGTTTTCTCAATGTACAATACCTATGCATGGTCATCAAGTGCCATGGAAAGCATGGAAATATCAAGGTCAAGCGATATCGGCGATTCCGTCTGATTGGCCCATTGGTGACCTGCCCGAAAGCGAGAGAGCGTTGGAGACGACGGTGCAGCTTCGGCCGGTACCTGCATGGCGTCACCCGCTGCTGCGTGAGTGGTGGAAGTTCATGCTTGGCAGAATGTCGCCAAAAAAAAAAAAAAATGAGAAAATAAAAAATCTCATCCGTCGGAGGCAGAGATTCTATTCGCCTGGATGGCCAAACAAAGAAGGGAAGAAATTGGGTTCACCTCACTGGCAACTGCCATCCCATAGGTACCAGGCCTACCCCGCGCTCCGATAAGCGGTGAAATAATCAGTCCCCTACGGATACAGGACAGAAGAGTCACACACAAGGTGGGATGTTTTGGAGTCATTGCCCCACACTCAACTTTCATCATCCTCAACCTTCCCGCCTCGAACTTTCGTAGTTTCCTCTCCAGCAACAGCAATCAATTGTAGTCGCAAACATTTCAATCCAAGTCGCAAACATGGCCCACACTATTCTTCACCTCCGATCCGAAACCAAGGTGTGCAATGATTCTGCAAACCAACATTGACTTTGGGTATTCAGAGATAGCTAACTTTTGACGTCAGCCCTTGGAACACAGGAGCGCCCTCACCCCCACCACTACTCGCAAGCTGGTTGAGGCCGGCTACGAAGTCAGAGTTGAAAGGAGCCCCGTACGTTCTCGCCGATGTACTATCTGTCTTTCGCGAGGGACGAATTATTGACCCGACGATCCCCAGGTTCGCATCTTTGACGATGCCGAGTTCGAAGCCGCTGGCGCAACCCTTGTGCCCGAATACTCCTGGGAGTCAGCCCCATCGGACGTGATCATCGTCGGTCTCAAGGAGCTTGAGGAGAAGGAGTTCCCTCTCAAGCATGTCCACGTCACATTCCTCCACGTCTACAAGGTATACAAGCCCCAATTGAGCTGGATACCACCAGAGAGCTCGCTAACCAAGCTATAGAACCAAGGTGGCTGGGAGAAGACACTCGGCCGTTTCCCCCGTGGCGGCGGCACTCTTCTCGACCTCGAGTTCTTGGCCAACGAGTCCGGTCGCAGAGTCGCAGCCTTCGGTTTCCACGCTGGTTTCTCTGGCGCTGCTCTTGCTCTCGAGAACTGGGCCTGGCAGCTCACCCACCCTGGCGAGCCCTTCCCTGCCGTCGAGGCGTACCCCAATGAGGATGCTCTCATCGTCGATGTCAAGAAGGCCTTGGACGAGGGTATTGCCAAGGCTGGTCGCAAGCCCAGAGTCATTGTGATTGGTGCTCTTGGACGTTGCGGTTCCGGTGCCGTTGAGATGGCCAAGAGAGCCGGTGTTGAGGATATCGTCCGCTGGGTAAGTCATTCCCAACTTGGTCATCGCAACACGCACTAACATGAGCTGCAGGATATGGAGGAGACCAAGAACCCCGGCCCTTACAAGGAGATCACGGATGCCGACATTTTCGTCAACTGCATCTACCTCAGGTACGTCTCTTTGGGAATAACCCCAATTTTGAGCTTGTACTAACACATGTTTCCCATAGCCAACCTATTCCCCGTATGTTACTACCCTTTCAATCCGGTGTCAAGCATCTGTTGGCATGCTCTCTTGGAAAAGGAGTTACGTGATCAACTCGTGGAGTCATGATCATGAATTGGTTGACACAGCGTACGATTGGCGGGGCCGTAAGCTGACAATACTTTTCTAGCTTTCCTCAACCGCGAGTCTCTGCAGGTCCCCGGTAGAAACCTCAGCGTGATTTGCGATGTTTCTGCTGACACCACCAACCCCCACAACCCGAGTAAGTCACCTTTAGACGGCTCTATCAATTAGACAATGCTGACAATGCATTTACTCATAGTCCCCGTCTACACCGTGGCTACCACCTTCGACAAGCCCACCGTCCCCGTCGAGGGACTGGAGAACCCTCCCCTGAGCGTCATCTCCATCGACCACCTTCCGTCTTTGTTGCCGAGGGAGTCTGTAAGTTTGGCAACGCTGGAAATGCATTCGCGGGAAGTGAAGCTGACATGAATGACAGAGCGAGGCCTTCAGCAACGACCTGCTGCCTACCCTCCTGAACCTCAAGGACTGGCGCAACGATTCCGTCTGGGCCCGCGCCGAGAAGCTCTTCCAGGACAAGGTCGCCCTGCTCCCCGCCGAGCTTCAGAAGAGAGAGGCCTAGTGGACCCCTATTCGGTCGTACTTTTGTTTCTAGAATGGAATTCGGCGTTTTCAGGGGTGGAGGATCTTATGAAGAAAACGGGCATACCCAAGCCAGGTTGCCAAATAGATCAAAAAGCTTAGATCATGAGCGAACAGACTCGAGGAATGATACACCCAGCTAGAGCTGGAAACTTGAGGCCATTTTGGTATCCGTGACAATGACCGCCATCTCTAGGCTTCGGCCCCCCTTTTTGGATTGATATAGTCTACATGATGTGAAATGTTGTGTTTGTGTGTGTATTTGTACAAGCCGAATGGCCGCGCCATAGAGCAGGGTGTCCCAAACCATAAATCCAGAACGCCCAACATATGCATCTCCCTCCCCCTTTTCTTCCTTGACACGGGCAAAATCCGCGCCACCTCCCCGAACGACCTCCTCTCCCATATCAGTCAGTCCTCCAGCCATCACCGCCTCTCCTCCGCCGTAACACTCTTCCGATCCCTCGCAGCGTACCCGCCCACGCGCTCGCCCAGCCTCATCTTCTCCTCCTCCTTCCTCCTCGTCTCGGCGTCCTTCTCGGGCAGGCCCCACCACTCGCGGATAAAGTCCTCCTGCTGCGCCTTTTTCACGGCCTTGCGCTCGCGCTCCTTTTGCCGCTCCATGCGCTTGGCGAACCATTCCTCGCGCGCGGCGTCGTGCTCCTCCGGGGTGGCGTGGGCCTTCATGCAACCGTTCATTGCGCGGAGCTGGGTGCGGCAGACGAAGGAGACGGTGAAGGTGCGGTTCAGGGCGCAGTCTGCAAAGGCTGATGGTTTTTTGTTTGTTAGTGTCTATATTTTTCCGGCGTTTCTTTCTTTGCAAGGAAGCTTCTTGACGTGGAGGATTTGCAAGGGACGGGCTATGATAGGCTTCGGGAGAATGGGGACTTGAAGGAGGGCATTATCTCCGGAGAGAGTTACAGAGAAAGAAGAGAGGACAACGGTATGAGGTGACTTCAGGGGAAGAACGAACCCTTGATCTCGGGTGCGCAGGCGTTTCGCACGCGCGCGTGGTAAATGTCTCTGATCTGCGCCTCTTGGGAGGCCGAGAGGGGGAGCGGGTTGCGCGAGGGCATCGGCAGGCCCGCGGGGGCGCCGCCGGTCGGGTTCTGAGCCGCCATCGCGGCCATCAATTGGCGGAAGAAAGATTATGGGAAGTGAAAGAGTGTCCGCTTGCTCGGGTCGGCCGTCTGGTCGGTCGAGGGATCGGGGAAGAAAGTGTTGGAAGGTGGACGGCCGGCGTTTTCGGAGGGTCGGGCGGCCCGGTTTGTTTCTTCCGATGACAGTTCGTAGAGAGATTGTTGTACGGATTCGTCAAAACGACAACGAGGCTTTGAACTCGATTGTACGTCCTCGTTGGATGTATGACGACAAATCGTGTCACTTGAATTTCGTTCAATGGTTCCGTCGGCAGATTCCCAGAGGGCGGCGGGTTTGCGCGGGTGGTTCGATCTGGGTGGGTAAATCTACAGCTACCCGTTCGTTCCTCTCGCGAAATGTGACCCGTGCTTTCGGAAGGAGCTTGGCAATTGAGACTTTCTGCCGCCGGCTGTTAGGCTCACCGCCTACCTTACTTGGTGTCAATGTGAGTGAGCAAACGTCAACGCAACACCTAGACACTAAGATAGCAGCCGCCTGAACAGCATTTGGCGTAAGTATATTGAGGTTTCACAGTGCTCCGTATTACTCTAGCCAAGTGTTACCCAAAAATAGTAGATTGGATGGGTATCCGGTCATTTTCACTCGATTATCTGTGTCTGAGACAATGTTGCTTTTGGAACGCCTAATCTTTTATTTTTACTGATTTTTGCAAAACACTACATCGCTTCGACTGTCTGACCCCGACAGATCCGCTGGATTCACTCGTCTTTCTTGTCTTCTCCCTCGACCTCGCCCTCGGGGGTAACCTGGTGGAACTCAAGGCTTTCTCGGTTATCCTTGCCTTTCTTCTTCATAGAAAACTTACTGCTCCAGCCAGAAATTCTGCTTTCCTTGGCGTCTCTGGATTTGGCAGGGCCTGCGGATGGGCTGCTGGTGACGCTTTCATAGCTTCGTCCAAGCAACCCCTCCTCGCCAAAGTCGTCAATGTCACCAAAGCTGGATCGATCCGCAGACAAGTTCTTGTCCGAGTTCGTAGTGCTCCCAGGCCCTTTCTTAAAGAGACTCGAGTCCTTGCTTAGACGAGACGAAAGACTGAACTTGCTGGAGCTGCCTTTCCTGAAGAGCTTCCTGTAGGCGTTCTCCTGGTCCTTGATATTGGAGTCAGAAAGTGTATTGGAGACTGCCCTATCAAGGGTCAAAGACTCCCGAGATTCGGTGACCGATGCCTGTGTGTGGACAGAGAAGGCATCGCGGGACTTTCTGGACTCTGTTGGAGACGCATCGTAGCCTTGCGGCAGGTCTAGGCTGGGCGTAGAAACATCCCTCGTCTTGCCTTTTTCCTTTGCGTCCTTGTCTTTGGCTTTGTCCTTAGTTTTGTCCTTGGACTTTGACTTGTCCTTCTCTTTGCCTGAGTCACTTTCTTTATCCTTACTGCGGAATAGTCCCCCAATAGAGAAGGTCGGCGCTGCTGGGTTCAAGCTCTTGCTCAACAAGGATTTGTTGTCTGAGTTCTGTTTACTGGCTGGTGGTCGACTGCCAA